CTCTCTCTCTCTCTCTCTCTCTCTCTCTCTCTCTCTCTCTCTCTCTCTCTCTCTCTCTCTCTCTCTCTCTCTCCTCCTCCCCACGCCCCCCTCTCCCCTTCCCTCCCCTCCCCTCCCTTCCATACCTCCGTTTCTCACAGAGCGGTGTTGGGCATGAAGAGGTGGAGAATTCCGTTCACATTCCGCCCAAAAACGAAACAGGTGCGTTCGCGCGGCGTGGCGAAGTGCACCTCTCTCTCTCCCCGCTCTCCTCCTTCCTCCCTACATCTCTCCATCTCTCTCTCTCTCTCTCTCTCTCTCTCTCTCTCTCTCTCTCTCTCTACATCCAACCTCCCCTCCATCGATCTGTCAATTCGTCTAGGGACAGGATTTGTGGACGGCCGCTATCGTAAAAGCCAAGGTGGAGATCATGTTGTGAATGCCGAGAGGCAGCGGGAGAAGGAGTATTCGGGGGAGGACAGGTGCGTGGTCGGGCAGGGTGTAGAAGGTGGTCGGGCAGGGTGTTCAGAAATGGAGGAACAGTCAGAGGAGGAGGTCCCCATCGAAATCTTGAGGGGTTGGAATGGCAGGAAAAGGGGGGAGGGGAGGGGAGGGATGCGGGATAAGGAGGAGGAGAGGGTCGGGATTTGATCGGTCAGGTTGGGGATGCCGTTGAGGGAGGAGGAGAAGGGGAGAGGGTCGATATAGGGTGAAATATGAAAGGTAAGATTGCCGGCGGTGAAGGAGGTTGTGGAGGGGGAAACACGTCGAGGAGGATTCTAAAGTAAATGGAAGGATGGTGTGGTTCGTGGAGCCAATTTGGTATTAAGGGGATAGGCAGCGCGGATTGGGAGGCGGCCGATGAGGATGATGTGGGATCCAGAGGAAGAGAAGGGGCGAATGTCAGCCAATCAGGGTGAGGATGATGCGGTTACCAGATGGCCAGCGACCACATGGAGTATTGGAGGAGTAGAAGCGCGAAGAGGGGATCCCAACGGAGGAGAGAAAGGAGTGGAGAAAGACGGGAAGGAGGAGGCGACAGACACGAAGCAAGGAGAGAAGAGGAAGGGGGAACCGGATTGGTGGAAGGAAGATCGGGAGGGGGGATGGAGGGGACGAATTGGAAAATGGAATCGAACAGGCGGAAGGGAAGGAACAAAGAGACACACAGAGAGAGAGAGAGAGAGAGAGAGAGAGAGAGAGAGAGAGAGAGAGAGAGAGAGAGAGAGAGAGAGAGAGAGAGAGAGAGAGGGCGTTTGACGATCGTTAATGACGGGATTCAACCCCTGGAGAGAGAGAATGAGATGGAGAGAGGGGAGAGTAACAAGAGAATGGGAAGAGCGAGGGAGGACGAGATGGCGAGAGGGACAGGGCAGAGAGATCCTAGTGGGGTAGTAATCTTCGTGCGCACTATCTTCTCTTCAAGGAGGCACGACCGCTGTCAGCCCAACATGATTCGAAATGTTAAAAGGGAAAAGGGAAATAAAGATGATGAAGGAATATGGATTGTGCGATATTACTACATCCTTCGTCGCGCATTTTGTGTGTACCTTTTTTCTGTGGGCTGCTACGCTGTCTTCTCTGCACGTCTGGAGTTTGTCGATCTCTTGCTATGATATCTGTTCTGTTCTCATTAAAAAAAAAGTAAAAAAAGTTCCGTTCTACTGGTGGGGATGTGGGCAGACCGGTTGCGGCTCTCCTCTTTTATATTTCGCGCGTTGACGTCAACATTAAATGCTCATCAGCTCTCCGTCGGAATTAAGATGGGACTTGATTAATTAATCTTAGCTGGCAACGTGTTGTTATATCGGTGTCATCGGGTGTTCTCCGCTTCTGTTTCTTCGTACTCACCAGCATGATCGAGTATTACAGTAATTAATGCATCGGCTTGGTACAACCGTCTCGTGATGCATTTCGTCTCATCATTAGCTGAGCTTTTTTTTTTTTTCAATGTTCATCATCTTCCTTGGAACAAGCGTTGAGCTCTGTTCTACACAATAGACAGCGTTCAAAATATCGCTCCAGCAGTATTCTTCCCTTCCTCTCTCTCCTTTTCAGTGCATCTCTCTCAGTATGCAGACACACTCACACTCACACACACACACACAGAGACACACACAGAGAGAGAGAGAGAGAGAGAGAGAGAGAGAGAGAGAGAGAGAGAGAGAGAGAGAGAGAGAGAGAGGTTTCTCACTGGCCTTCGCTCTTGAGAGAGCGAACTCGAATGGCCGAGGGAGAGTCAGTCTCGCCAGCTATAATACGGGATTATGTCCATTTGATAAATCCGTCCAAGAAAGGAACAAGAGATCCAATCTCGGGACATCCATTTGATGAATCCTTCAGAAGCCCCTTGCATCGCAAGGAATCTCAAAG